ATATGTCAAATATATATATATATATATATATATATATATATATTTTACAGAAATTTTTAAGGCTCCCTCTTTGGTCATGTATTGTATAAGGAATTGAAATACATGGCCCTTAGGTCCCCATATTATTTGATTTATAATTAAATTTGTAAACAATATTAAGTTATTAACTTCTTGTCAGCCTTTCTGCTAAGGTATGTAGCTACAACTACCAGCTTGTAAGGGTCGTCGATATCCTTTAGTGAATCTGTTCTTAGCTTGTTGATTTATCTGTATGTTGGTTACTTGCTCATGATCCTATGTGAGCCAATGCTTTTATTATTTTGTACAACTATTTGTATACTCTATCAAATCCATTTAGTAATTACTTATATATGTCTCTTTTTTGCATCTTTTTCATGATGAAAGAATTGGAATGTGAAAGGGAATGCAGTAGGGGTGAGGATTATCGCCTCATCAAACTCTCGATCACAGATTTCAATGTAGTAATTGTGCCTTTTCTGTTGTTTATCTTTTCCTGTGCTTTGTACGCTTATTCACATTTGGTCTTCATGAAATAGATGAAGAAAGAACAAACCACTGTTGTGGAGTGCAAAGGGCATGATGCTGCTCGGTTCCACAGTATTGATCATGCTCACGGGTAAAGCACAGTCTTCTAGATATGATATTCCTGTATATTTCTTTTTGAGTGCCCACCCCGGTTTTATGATTTTGTTATATAATTTTATTTGATTCTTAATATGTATAATTTTCATGCTAAACAGTGAGAATAATGTTATTAAGATAAAACTACGTTTCTATAATCAGGCAACTGTTTAGATGTAACTGTCTATAATGTCAACAGAACAGGCCAGCTAAAGAGAGGCACATAGTCGGATAATCCACACAAGTCATTATCTAGTTTTCAGATACTCCTTGTGCACAGTAATTTTTTTGTACTAGACACTAATTTGTTTTAATTTTGGATATACTATTTGAGATTGAACAATTAGTCACTATAGTTTCACACAGTTTGGATTTTAGTCACTATATTATCCACTCATTTCGGTTTTATATTATTCCTTATAGTTACTACTAATTAACATATTTGCCCCTATTGTCTGTGAAAGATTTTTCCTTATAGTTTGCAATTAAGGTATTGGTTCCTAAAAGACCAAAGTCCAAATAAAAGAAACTGATAAATATAAAAATATATATTAATCAAATTTTAAATCTGGCAAAATTATGGGGCCAATTCTTTATTTTAACCTATATTTGATATAAGTATTCTTCAGTAATTATCTATCAAATTACATTTTCTCTATTTACCGCCAATTCTTTGTTTGCACTCTCCAGTTAACTGGTTTTTACAAATTAGTTTCTCTTTAGGACTTGATTTCCCCTCACAAATTGAAGTACTCGTTCATTTACATTTTTCTTCATTTTGAATTTATGATGACCGCTACATGTGGATGGCTGGTATGTTCAATTCATTGTTTGCATTCACCTTTGAACAGTTGGGATAAGGATGTCACAGGTATGATTGAACAAAAGGATGGGAAGAAAAGAATCTCAGTGTCATTTGAGTGTGAGACACTGAAAGCTGATAAAGCAGCTGAAGACCACATCAGGAAGTTCTTGCCAAAATTAGCTGGTCTGGATGCTGTTGGTAAGTTAATGTGACGCAATTTACTTCCCTACCTTCTACCTTCTACCTTCAAGGGTTTTTTCATGTTTTGCTTTCAGTTAAATGGAGATGGTTAGTGCTATGTTGGACTTCCATTATATCTTCATTTTTTAATCTTATCATCTAAAGAATTCCTTTTGATTTAATCTGCAAAATGCTCCAAATTGTATTAAGGCTCAGTTTGGATAAATTATTCTATAAACACTTGTAAGAAAAAGGTAAAATAATTGAACTTCTCTCGTAAGCTAAAACCAACGTAAACACTTCAACCTTTGAAGAAGTTAAATGAGAGACTTTCTCTAAAAGTCAAGTGCATTAGTTGATTTTATCTTATGGGAGGAGTTCAATTCATTTTGCTTTCTTATTTTCTTCTACTATAAGTATTTAAGGAGAAACTTATCTAAACAAGGACCTGGTCTTGGATGATAGTGTTACTATCATTACACAATTCTGGGATATTTGATCACTTATGGTTATGGTGCTTTTCTTTGCTCTTTCCCCGTTATGGCCTGCTACCCTTTACATGCATTTTAAATGAAAGAATGGAGGGACATCAAGAGACTAGGATTTGATCATGCCATCCAATCTGCACCTATCCCTATGACATTCTTCTTGACTATTTGAGGCAAAATATGAAGTTTGTTTAATCATTAAAAGAAACCAGCATCAAAGTTATTATACTTATAACTATTAATTGATTGAACCTGAGCATTTGAGGCCTGAGGTTGCAGGTTCTAGATGTGACTACGTTTGATTATTATGATATTTTGATTGCCACATTATGGCATGTACTTGCATCCAAACACTTTTTTCCCTTTCACAAAGAATCATGCATTATTTTGGATCATTAGATTACCATCTCAATATTGAGAAGAGTTTTTGTGATTCTTGTTACTGCTTCACTCTTAAAAGCATCCTAAATAAACCTTTTGTCTAAATTCATCAATAGCATCAACGTGATGGTGTTGCGTTAGCTTTGGAAGATGTAGGGGAAGTAGCAATTTCTTTCCCAAGTCTTATTTGAATGAAGTTTTATGCATGCATGTTGCATGAGCTTAAACACAGATTACAAACAGTTTAATTTGTTTAATACATTATATATATCTGGACCAATTTCTCATCCCTTGCGTCCTTACTGTGTTTTATTTGATTGTTGGAATAATGCAGTTAACATAGGAAAGATGAAGATTTCTGGATTGGATTTTGGAGCAGAGGAAGAGGATGAAGAGACTGAGTAGTAATTTTGATACATTGTAACTAATTAATGTCCATTAAGCTATTGAAAGGAAGACTGAAATGCATGATTTGAGCAAATACTGCAGAAATTTGTTTTGTAAAAGAATCTGATGTTTGCCCAAAAATCATCCTTAATTAGAGACAACTCAGGCTCTATTCCCAGGCTGTGTATGTCTTATTGTCTTTTCCTTAATGAATGATTTAGGTACAATGAAATATGTGAATGTCCATTTGAATAGATAAAAGATATGAACATAGAAAATTTAAGATAAAAATCACTTCGTAATCGATGCAATCAGTTTTATACGAAGTGTAAAACAATCTATATCAGTTTACACCCCACCACAAAACATATAAGATGACAATTTTTTAATTTATTATTATTATTATTATTATGTAATTGGTAAGTTTTAAAATAGAAGCCCAATTGTAATGAAGTCAAGATGCTTCTACCTTTTACCACACCTATCTTAGAATGGTGAGGATTTACTTTCAAAGAGCAAGTGCTATTTACGTACATAGTTAAATATTTTTTTTTTCCAAATTACAAAATCCGCCACTGTAATATTTGAAAAATGTAGCATTATTATCAAAAGCATAGTATATGATACAATTTTTTTATAAAATGGTTAATCGACAGTAAAAGTTTGTAAAGACTTCCATTGCTTATACGAATGTTTAATGTTTACATTAAAATCTGGAAATATTGCACCGCAAGAGTAACGACTCAGATGATCAGCAAGACATTGATAGGGAAAAACATTAGTTTTATTTTCCAAATCCAATTGCTAAAAAAAGGTGGAAGCATCAATTACCAGATTCAGTCAATATGGGATTTCCCACGTCAAATATCTCTTTAAAATCGTTTCCAAATACTTGCTGTGAAAATCAAACCATAATTATTTTTAAAATTTAATTTCTATACACTATTGATGAAAAATACTTTACATTATTAGTCAATTAGAAATCATTTTAAAAATTTAATAATTATTATAAAAGTCAAGAATTTAGTCACACAAAATAATATAAATATCTATTTGAATAGCACCCGGTGCATTAGTGCTCCTCAAATGAATTTGAGTAGGAAAATGCTACTATATCAAAATGATTCTTGACAAGTGTGAATTATTGAACAACCAAATCTGTCTCCCTATTCACACATCAATATACACGGTATACCACAGTTATCAATCAGCAACAACCTTCTATCTGATTCATAAAAAATTTTGTTGGCAATATTCATAATCTGTGGAAAATCCTGAGACAGCAGCATGAAGCATAATGGAACATTTCTGTTGTTGATCAGAAATTTACCCATGAATAGTAGACCAGAAGTGTTCAACCAAATTTCATGTGAATACTGAATTCCAATCTGTCCAAGGAAAATCAAGATTTCAGAATAAAGTAGGAAATGCATATATGTCTGCAAAATTGTTAGACTAAACAATACTCAAGACAACATTAATTTGTTAATCAAAACCTTTAAATACAATTTGGTAGGTATCAGTCAGCTAAAACACATGTTGGCCATTAACACAACTAAATTTCATGAAAATGGGTCTAGTTCTCAACAATGAAAACCATTTGTCACAATTACCATAAGGATAAACCTCAGGTACCAACAATATCTATGGTACCAAACAAATAATAGGTACAAAATTGTTAGTATTATTCTTTAATCAAAATTGAAATTTTACTTCAATAATTTGTGCTTAAATTTAATGGAATCCTTTATTACGCATATTACTAAGGTGAAACTCCAATTTTGATTGGAGAATAGCACTAACAATACATGTACCTTAAGTTTTGTTCTTACCGGAAAACACATTTCAAGCCCAAAATCTTTACTTCATGAAGAAGAACTAGTTTTTGTTTTAAAGAAAACGGAAATTAAATAGGACAAGTTATGGACTTTAAAGATATAAGTAAATACCTGAGGCCGAGAGTCGTTAATATCTTACATTACTACTCAGACACTTTCTGAATCAGACAATGGAAACAATGTGCAGACCCCAAGCAAGTGACCATTAAGGCACACATAATACTCAACAGAGTCTTCATAGGAACCCAACCTGCAACTAGCACTTTGTGGAATCATATTAGCCTGCAGCATGCTCCACAACTTCGCCTTACAATACGGGCAAATCTCGGTTTTATGGAGCTGCGCACCTCTGTTAATAAGCATCCTCCTGACATTTGATGATGCAAATGACTTAAAAATTCCTCTGAAGAATCCTAAATCACCATCCTCACCTTGGTCAAGATGCTCACAAGGATCAGACACATACAAAACATCATTTATGCATTGAGGCATAAGAAAGCTCTTTCCTGAGGTTCTGGAAAATCGAGTTCTGTGAACAAAATGACCAGGAACCTGAACGTTATTGAACAAGCCACCTTTCTTGCAACCAGAACAGAATATAAGAAGCTTCCCTAGAGCCCTCCAGTTCCCATCTACACTGTGGCTTCCACTGGATTGCAGATCAAGCATCATCTTAGGAGCTCTTGTCCGACAAAACTCCTTCCATAGAACTCGCTTTGCAAGATCGTCGAACCATTTGCACGCACATGATAGAGATGCAATTAGCTTGGGGTTCCAATTCAAATGCTGAAACACCAAGAATATCACATCTTCACTTAAATGCCCCTTGGTACATTGACAGCTAGATGAATGTATGCATCGATACTGTTTTGCGAGAATCATTCTGGCATTTACAAAGAACACATATCAGTTTATTAAAAAAAAAAAATTGTCATATCTAGGCCGTTTGTACATTTGACAAATGCTAATGACCAAAATTCTTAATTTGGTATTTCATGGCATTCAAGAAACATATAACTGACAAAACCAATGCTAAACAATGCAAATAAAAAAATTCAAGGCATACACTATATAACAAGAATTTACCTCATCAGGTTGCTTTCTAAAATACTCAAAAGTTTGTTCACGAAGAGAAATGTTTTTCTTCTTCCAATGCACTGGTGTGTGGTGCCATTTAATTCATAGATGCTTGAATTTTGAAGAATAGACCACGGTAACTTGAAATCAGATCAAAAACAAGAAAATAAAGGATGCAAAGTTCTATACTGGTTCCTATTGTGAAAAACCCAAGTCTCATATTGCTAGTTTATGTGTGATCTCCCAACACACACTTCTCACCCTGAAAACTAAACCTTTTAAGCGTGAAATTTACAAAACTAAACACCTCCAAGATTTTCTCAATAGTTCCTTGCTGGCAGAAGAGAAGGAGCAAAACACTGATAGAACAATATAAATATAATGAGGCATAAGATATCAACAATGGTGTTTACAAAGAAACTCGAGCAATAGACAAATCCCGGAGAAAGGGATGCTCAATTCATTTCAATTCAAGGGAAAATACACTGCAACCAAGACCAGCCTTAAATTTCTTCAAAATTCAAGCATCTATGAGTTCAAAACTTACCAAACTCAACATAAATAAAGAAGATAACTAAATGCAGCAGAAAAAAAAGCTCGCATTCAGAGCTTCGGATATATCACATTTTTCAATTCCCAACAACAACAACATAACCTACAGCAGCCACATCATAACCAAAGTTAACAAGCATGATGCACGGCACAATATAAGTTAACATAAACTCCTTACTAACATAGACAAATCCAAATTCCAAAATGACCCTTAACTAGAATTCACATAATTGATAATCCCCACTCAAAATTGGAAATTTATGAATACCCTCCACTAAAATGAAAAATAAATAAATAAAATCAAACCCAAACCCAAAAAGTGTAGGATGGATCACAGTAACTTGAAATTAGATCAAAAACAAGAAAAATCAAACCAAACTAAAACAAAACCCAGATTGTGCCTTAGCTAAAGGAACCAGCTTTGGCCATAAACCAATCAATGGTTTGCTTTGGGGAGGGAGCAGGGAAAAGGGTATCTGAAAAAACAACAAAATCAAAAACAAAAAAGGAGAAAGCACAGAACTTGCTTGCAGAAGTTGCAATAAAACCGTCTATAATTTTCACCTCTGACCAGGGGCAATTCGGTCCAGAAAAGGCACAGAAGAACACACTGAAAGCAGAAAAAATGTAGAGAGAGAGAAGAAGAAAGAAATGGAAGAAAGTGAAACAAGGCTTGCAAGAGAAAGTGTAATATATTGAAGACATGCATAGAGTAACTAACATCCTTGGTGAGCAATGACTCTGTCAAGCACAAATAACGATTCGACACGTCATCTTTGTCCAGCTGGCACTGCACAATTCTAAAATCTAAAGTGCCATTTCGAAGGCTAATTCTGTAATAAGACAGTAGGGTATTCAAATTTCAACCAACTTGTTTCAACACTTCATTGAAAATTGATAAATTCTAAAATTATAAATAATAAAACACGATTTTTTTTATCTATACTATAAAAAGGAAATATACTGTATTTTGGTGTATACAGTTTTTTTTAATCTTATTTTACTCTTACAATTACTCCAAATCACTTCCACACTTTCTAATTGTAAATCATTTACTATTATTTAACTTTTATTATCTTAATTTTTTCTTTGATTTTAATTTTAAAGTAACACACCTAAAAATATGAATCATGGAGGACTTTTAATTTTGTATAACTTTCTAATTTTGTATAACTTTCTAATTTTGTATAAAAAAAATAATGGAATGTCTTTTTCTACTAATTATGTATAACTTTAATGCATTATTAATATAAAATAAATTATAACATTAACTAATAAGAAATCACCTTTAATATGATTCTTAAAAAAATTATAGTAAATCCATTGATAATTTTTTTTTATAAATAAGATATATAATTTTTTATCACTAGGTCAACTCATTTTAAAAATAAAGTGATTTCTTCAACGTAATTATATACTTAAAATAATGATTAAATTTTAATTTTTAATTAAAAATATAAATGTCAAACTACTTATAAGTGATACTTAATATTTTTAAAACAGAAATTGTGTGCATTATGAATTTATGAGTTGCATATTATGGAGGATAAAAATATGATTTATCCGATAAATTATTTCAGAAAATATTCTTTTATATGTTTTCATTATTCAAAATTAAAGTAAAAATGAACATTTTAAGTTAAAAAAATGCAGAATAACCTATTATTGTCTCTTAATATATTTTTTTTCTTTCAGAATTGCAGAACTAGACAGAAAAATTGCTTTATATATATAATATAAAAATAATATCTGGATCTATAAAAAAGCAAATGCAAGGGTGACAAGTGTCCTGAACGAATGAATATTTAACGTTATTTTCTTGTTCCTTAAAATTATCAAAAACTCTTTTTTGTTAAAGGTTTTCTTTTCTTTTTTCCTTACCTAAAAGGTGATTCTTACTGCTACAGTCCACGCTGCCATGTGTCACTTTATTAATGTTTGGCCTTTCATTTTCGTTATTATTAATTATTTTGTAAAATTTATATTCATATTTTTGAACTGATTTGGGTATCTTTGTGTCCATGACTCTATGTCTCTATCTGCAACTTGCTGCTTTATCTTTCTACTTTTCCCTTTTTTTAAGCTTAACCAAAATCAAGTTGCTGCTTTTATATTATTGTTTCTTTCTGACTTACTCAACTCAACCTTCTTTTTTCTTTTTATTGGATTAATCAAATTCACAATTTTGGATTTATAAGGAGGATGGGGTAGGAGGTAATCTTGCCTAACATGTTCAAAACTCTTATTCTAAATGTTTATTTACAATAGTTGCATGCTTAATATTTGAACTGAATCACATGTATCTTAAAAGTAATGGAACTTGTTCCTGATTTTTTCAAATTCTAAAATTTTTAATGTGTTGAATTGATTATTTTCACTTAAGTATGTATGGTCGCACAAATAATAACATTTAAGTATTATTCGTTTTTAAAAATGTTTTATTTCTCTTTTATAATATTATTATGAAATAAAAGTAATTTTTTTAGACAAATATACTATTTTATGTTATGTGTACTCTTTATTGCAAAGATAATCATATTTTTCTCTTTTAAGAGAAAACATTTAAGTATTATTTATTTCTTTAATAACTAATCTTTTCATTTTGATAATATTAATTTAAAGTTTATACATAGTTGTATTTGTAATTAAATAATTTTATAACCTTACTTTTATATTGATTTAATTTGATAATTATTATTTTTATTATTAAGGTTTTTACAATGAGTTAAGTTTAGGAACACTAATAAAGAATTGATAGTTTGAACTTTCATAATCATCAACAAATATTCTCTCTTTCTATCACTATATTTTTATATTATTTTTATTTTTATCTTTGTTCTCCTTATCATTGTTTGGGATCTTAATTATATGATTTGTACCTACACAAGGGTACACCAATAGTTTTATCACTCTAGTCCTTATTTAACAAATATTCATCTTCATAGTTTTTATCTTTTATATCCTTATAGTCTTTATCCTTTATATCTCACTGATAGTTCATCATAATGCATCAATTCCTCCTCGAGTATACCCATTAATGTAAATGTTTTCCAGTAGAGTATGTCAGTTGAACTCTCCTAATTAATTAGGGTTTCCTTATTATATAATTATTAATCTCCACACTAATTATCATTGGATCAGAAGAGGATCTGATCCTTGGAAATCAACATCAATAAATGTAATATTTAGCATCCTCGTCCTTTTTCTCTCCTCAACAATATTAATTGATCTCATTGCCCTTAGTGTCTTTTCCTTGTCGAAGAAGTAGTCCTTCCTCTAGAAAACCCTCTAAAAATGGTATTAATTATCCTTTTTGTTTGGTCTCTCAAACTATCACAAGCTCGTCCTTTCCTTTCTCGAGAATGATTACGACCCCATTTTGTTTTCTTTTTCTTTTTTTCTCTTTCTCATCCTTGGGGGAGACAATTTCCCTTCTATGATCATGCCCCTAACTAGACCCATACTTTTGAACAAATTTTTTTAACTATCCTTGTATGATAAGGTCTTCTACCCTGTCCTTCAACGTTGCACACTTTTCAGTTGAGTGCCCATGGTTTTAATAATATGTGCAAGATTTTGATAGATCTATCATTGGTGGTGTATGAGCCCTTTTCAGAATAGTTAATGTCTCTGAAGCCAATGCTTGTTCAAGAATCCTTGTCTTGTTAATATTAAGGGGTCTGTACGTAGTGTATCAAGGACCTCTAGGCTAATAATTCCTAGAGTTATCTCCTCTTCTACTTTTTTGGAATGTTTCTCTTTCATTTTCTTTTTTACTTGAAGCAAGCTTAACTTTAGCCTGATTTCTTGACTCTGCCAACTCTTCCATTTGCATATATTTATTAGCCATCCTCCTTAAGTTATTCATATCTAACAGGTGTTTCTTACACAAGCTATTCACAAAAGGACTCAGTTTTAGAGCAGTGTTCAGTTTATCCATTGCAACCACTAGGTTTAGATTTTTGATATCCATAGCAATTTTATTAAAATGGTCTATGAAGCCCCAAAATGACTTTTTTTTTGGTCTTATGTTAACCAATGCCAATGATGTTAATTGGTAAGGCTGACTAATAGCAAATTGTATTGTGAACAAAGTTGATAATTCTTCACAAGAATTTATTGAGCCTAGGGAAGTTTAATGAACTATTTGAGGGCTCTAGCCTTCAAAGACTTCGGGAATATATGACACCAAGTTGCATCCTCTTCGATAAGCAATTTAACTAGTGTCAAATATGCATTCAAATGTTCATTTGGGTACAAGATCCATCATATTTTTCCAACGAAAGATTTCTCCAATTATTCAATAACATAGTCTCCATATTTCTCTATGTAAAAGGGTGTTTGTATGTTCCGATCAAAGTTCCATACCAAAGAGGGCCTTGTTCAGGAATAATTGAAAATTGTACATGGGGTACTTGCACTTACGAAGTTGTCGATACATGATATGAAGATGCTTCATTATTAGTTTGACATGTAGGAACCCAAGATATATTGATATTCCTCAACTTAGCATTCTCCCTCCTTAGTGTCGCAAGCTCCTGAGCATCACACTCAGGACCTATCGAATAACAATCATTTCTTACCTTAGTAATTTCATAGCATCCAAAAGATCAATATGATCTTCCATAACAATAAATTCTACATTTGCTCGGGCCATGCAAAATTGTAGTCACCATCCTTCAAAAGTTATTCTTCCTACAAAATAAACAAATAACAAGGGCCTTAAAAATGGGCCCCATAGTGAGCGCCAAAAATGTACTTGCATAAGGGTACATTAGTAATTTTATCACTTCAATTCTTATCTAAAAAGTCTTCATCTTCATAGCCTTTGTCCTTTATATCCTTATAGTCTTCGGGTATACGTGTCCGATAAGGTAAAAGGAGAGTACTTGCAAAAGACACTTCAATACTTTAGTTAGTCCTCGATCATAAACATGTCAATGAAATTAATGTTGTAATAAATATAAAAATATTTTCTTTAAAAGTTATTATGTATACTAATTTTATTGGTTATGGACCTTGATGACACACATTATCTACTAAATTACCTTGAGAGATGTTTTTAAGTTACTTGTAAACTTATCTAATCCTCGATAAGATCCGATGAGTGTTCGACTCTATCCTTTGACCAAACCTTTCAAATATATGATTCAATATGTAAATATTGGAAAAACAAATCAAATATTATATTATATAAAAAATTTGTCAAAATTTATTTTCTAAAATAATGACCATTGTCATAGTAAAACATACAACATTTTTTTTCTTCTTATTTTCTTCAAAGATTGTTTATTAAAGCATCAATCTTAATTTCCACTAAGACCAACAATGTCAGGTCAATTAATTTATACATTTGATAGTATATATAATTTATCCATAATTTCATCTAAAAATTAGTAATTTTGTTAGTTGCATAGCCATGTATAAGTAACTAAATGAGTAGGAATATATTATTAGGGTAACGGTTTTTCCCCTTAATAATATAGATTTAGCCTATTTGTATTCTCATAAAAATATTAAAAAAGATAGATAAAAATTGGGGGAAAATAAGTCAACTTAATTTAAATATTATTAAATATCAATTCCCACATCATCTACTTAATGCGATTAATATTATAATTTAATTATTAATATATGAACATTTAATTATTTGACCAAAATTGTGAATTTACAAGATTAAAAAACTAAAATTATAAAATTAAAAATTAAAATTGAAATCAAGAATTAGATATGATGGATACTAAATGTGTAGTTAAGCCAATTAACAAATCACATTTGCATTAGGAGGTATCCGCCAAAACGACATTTAACAGTATTTTAATATATAGAGCAAATGTTTATTTTATAATAACTAAACCTTAAATAGATAAATACTCTTGAGTATATAAATTGTATTATAACTAAAATTTAAATTTAATAAATATTTTTATATATTAATTTATGAAATATATTATGATATAAGATTTTTTTAATAATTTTAAAATATATTAAAATTCAATTTAAAAATAAAGATGAAAATGATGAGTTGAAGGAAAAACATAGAGAAAGATTGAGAAAAAAATTCCCAAAAAACACTATAGTCGAAGAAAGACTCATAAAAAAATAACTCTTAATAATATTATCATTCAAAATAGTTATTCTTGTTTATCTTAAATAATTTAAATATAAAATTATTTTTAATGAAATTTGATTTAAAAAGTAATAAAATATAATATATTGATTAAAAAAATATAATTAAGATATTAAAATGGAGTTAATCACCTATACACTGTCAGTGTAAAGTTTTTTTACACTGGCAACCAATTATATCTTTTAATTGTGTTATGTCACTATAAACACATTTACTTTTAATAGTAACATGACACAATTAAAAAATATAATTGGTTGTCAGTGTAAAAAAACTTTACACTGACAGTATATATGTGATTAACTCATTAAAATGTACATGTAGTTAAATATAAGAACTTGAAATAGCATAGAGAGAGAGAGAGAGAGAAATTTTTCTATTAGATATAACAAGAGATAATGTATAAAATATGTAAGATAATTATGTTTTATGTGAGAAATATGTGATGTATAAAAGGATTAATAAATAAATAATTAAATAATTAGAGACTAAATCATAAATGAACTTAATAGAGTAGTTTTGAGAATAATTATTATTTGATGAGAATAACGATCTTTAGCCACTAATGTTAAACAAGATCCACATCCTGATAGAAAATATTCTCTCAAACCCTGGTCATCACAGGAGATAGAGAGAGCAAAAAACAAGAGTCAAAGGAAGTGAAATCTTGATTCTCTTCTCAAAAAGATCAAAATACTCTAAAGATCAAAGAAGATTTATATTATGAAGAAAGGTACATACTATTTCTTATTATTATGTGAGTATCATAAATTTTAAAGATCCTTTTAATTTTCTATAATTGATGTATTAAAAAATCATAGAACTTACAAAATATACAACAAAATGAAAAGAGAGAAATAGGGCATTGAGAGTATCTAAGTGATAAAATAGGAGGATAAGTCTAGAAATAAATTTGTGGGAGGAATAATGATATTATGAATTGATATTGTTACTACATTTTAAATTAGGAGAATAATTTAGAATTATTTATACCTATATATATAAAGTTATTCTTTCTTTTAGTGTATATATTATTTTGACATTTTTAACTCTTTATAAAAATTGCATAAGTTGTATGATAATAATTAATAAATAAGAGAAAAGTTGTTTTTTTTTCATGAAAGTTTTGTTTTTAAAATTGTCAATAATTGTCCACTATCCCCACTAATATGTTTGTATTTAAAAGAAGACTCTCCAAAGACACAAAGTTCCTTCATTTCCACTGCTATATATTATGTAAGAAAAAGAAAAAAAAATCCCACTATGATACATGTGGACTATCCTATATAGTGTTGTGTTGATGACATGTAGCATAGTATACATGCATTTAATATATCTCTTCAATCTAATAAAAAATTTAATGACTTGTGTAAAAATGCTTTTGCAGTATTCCACCCATTCTCCGGAACATCTCAATCCTGTTGAAATCTCAACTAACCTCATTCCAACCTCAATTTTGCAACATGCTAGAACAAGTCAACATTAATCTAGATATATCATCAATCCATTTCACATTTCACATATCACTATGAATAAGTGAAACATCTCCAAAAGTTAAAAGCTTAATACATGCATTGGTTAAGTGAGTAGAAACCAACCAACCACCCAACTTGCAAAGAAAATATTGAGAAGCTGTCAAGAGAGGTGGGGCTGGGACAATTGACAATTAAGGTAGAAATTATTAACAGTTTTCCAATGAGAGAGGATAAGAGGGAATAATCAGAAAAGAAGCAACTGAATTAATTGGAGAAGTAGTGGCAGGCAATGGAAACAAAAATCTAGAATAAGATAGGTGAAGCATGGTGACTATAACAAACCTCTCTATCATGCTCAAGTGGTCAAATGCAAAGCAAGAAACCTAGCAATGTTACGAGTGTTCAAAGTATCAATCAAAGAAGGTATTATTTTATCATAAATATCTTTCAATTCATTTAATCAAAGATTAATCTTGTTATTCACAAATTTTTACATGTGATAAAGATCAAATACAGATTCTTTATTAAATAGATTGTTCTCATAACATGCAAATATAAATTACCTAATCATAACATTAATCTAATAACTTTGATGATAAGATAGTAGATGCATAATGCATAAAGAAAGTGGCTAGTGTTGATGGACTTTTTTCTTATAAGTTTGTATAGAGTTTGACATGAGTGAGGGCCCTCATACTTTTACTTGAAAAGCGTTCCTTCACTCAAGGGAAACTATTGTATAGATTAAATTTGCTAGTTATTCCATTCCTTGAATGGGGTCCCTATCCCTCAGTCTTGACTCTCACTTGTAGCTTTTGAAACTCTTTTAGTCACTATCGAAGCCAAGTGTTGAGGTACCATCGACCCTTTTACTCGCGTGATTCGGAAGCACCTTTCAATCTTATGGTATATTTCAATTTTCCAAATTCGTTGGCTTAAAAAGGCATTCAATTTTGGCAATACTTTATAGCCAATCAACCATAGATTAAGTAAACCTTATATTCTTCTCTCCTCCGCATTATTGCGTTAGCTTGCCATTTCTCCACCAAAAGCTCTTCCCTTTTATTTGAAAAATCTCACAGTCAAATAAATTATTTGAAGGAACAATAATTTGTTTCCTCTTAACTGGGGTCACAAAAATATTCATCCTTTTGTTGGTGACCTTGGTTTGTCCTGTGCCAGGACTTGAAGACTTACCAAAAAAAATATTGTATGGTTTGAAGAATCGATGAAAATAAATAAACAAATATATACAAACTCATTGAATCGGCCTAGAATTACTTGATTAACTTTTTATTTGAGGAAGCGATCGAGTTGGCCTAAATTTAAGTATCTAAATAAACTTACAAGTCAAATCAAGAGTGGGACTAATAAGGAAATGATCTAGTGGGCCTAAATTGAAACATTCAAAGAAACTAACAAGCCTACACAAAGTCTAACAATGTCAGTGAAAAAAAGAAGGAAGGGGTAAATGAAAGGAGATAATGGGAGAAAAGGAGTCCAGAAAAATCGGCTAAACGACCATTGTGGTGCACTTTTAGAAACTTATTACCAAAATGGGGCTGTTTTGAAACATTTTACACCTTTGGGACTCTTTTACTGGGTGTCGCTATGGCCCATAGCGACACCCATGACACGTGTTTTTTTTTTTTTTTTGGCTTGGTTGGACTGGATCAGTGTCGCTATCAGCTGGCTCCTCCTCAAGCAGAAGCTTTTTTTCTTTCGTCCACGAGTATTTAATGGTGGCCTTACTTGCACTATCGTTGCACTTCAACGACACACGTCCTTCACACCTCTAGGGAGACTTTCAGTACAAGGGATGATCCTACTCTTGGATCTCCTGCCAATTTCATTCAGGATCCCACTCTTAGATCCAACCAATACTCGTCTGAGCCGATCACCAGTCACTTGGTCGAACCATCGGCTCTGATACCAACTTGAATATGAATAATTTCTTATTATTGAATCTGAATAGGTACAATAAAATAAATAGGCAGAAAACATAATCAATCCCTAAAGTTTAGGGATTTAGATAAAACTAACTAAAGAGAAGATAAACTAGTATATCTAAACTATATCTTATAGAATTATCTTAACAACTTCAAATCAATCATAAACCCATGTTGCAACCAAAGTGCACTAGAAAACAAATGCCCATTAAAAATCATCTAATCAAATTAAAATGCAATGCACAAATTGATATCAGAGACAATAACTTGTAGCTTAAACAAATCCATACAAGGTAGTCAAAAAAATCAATGCAAAAGATAAATATTGCATTTTATCCACAAAAATAAGCAACTACAGATGTTTACAAACCTTGCATGAGCAAATAAAGCTTTGGCAATAACAAGCAACGTAGATGAAAAGACAAGGATGTTTATATGGTATTGCAATTCAGCAGCGAGTCCCCTTAAAATTTCCAAAACTCTTTCTTTAGCCTTGGCATTTGCTTCATGGTACCTGAAACAAATAAATTTACCAACACATATAAATAAGCAAAAGAGAAAGAAAAGTGTTTAAAATAATAATAAAAATAACAACAACATAGGATTGCACGGTTTTAAAAATAGCACACCTTGTTAATGCAGCCTCCACCTTTGGTGTGGTAAACCATTCCTCCCCAGCCTTTCTACCTTTAGAATCTAAAGCATGCCTGAGCTGTTTAATTTGTTCCTCTCCAGGGGTACCAGCCCACAAATTTGGTGTAAAGCGTTTGCCTTTGAACCAAACTGCCTCATGCTCCCGAGCATAGGATATTTCTCCCTTAGGACCTCCGAGTGGGGCTACAGTAGCCTTTATTCTAGAAACAACAGGAACAAAATCTTCAGTGACCTGCAATAATGATGGGACAACATTAATGAAACATAAACAAGTCTCTCAAAACATGTTTTACAAGCAAACAACTATAGGCAAGGTCGAGTTACAAAGACCTACTGCTATATGCAAGGCCTCAGCTGCTTTCTCCACTGCAGTAAATACATCATCTATGTGGATTCTTTTTATTCGACCTTTCCATTTAGACTCCATATCCTCAAAAAATTCACGAGGAATAAGAGAGAAAGAGTTGATTTTCTGATCATTCCCATCATCCAGAGAGATTATTTCACCAATCTTGCTAGATGCAACTTCACATCCTGTAACCTGTAAACAAAGTAACATTAGGGAAGTCTACAATCCAATGAAATTTGAAGCACTAAAATCAACCAAAAGAGAAATGATTACAGAAATATTATTTCAATAATGCCTAAAATTCCTAGATAACTCCAGAAAGATGCTATATATCAAAATACATTAAATCAGTAGACTTAAAACTAAATGTTAATGTAATTAAAAAATCCAAGGAGAATAAAAACTACAATTTGTACAGATGAAGTTAGAAAACATCACGTTATATATTCACATTTGTGTTAGAAATTTAGCACAATTAGGACATGACGATATGTAAATTGTAAAGTTAGCCAACTATATCTATATGATAGATGTAAATTAGAAAGTGAATGACTATTAAGAGATCAGTGCACAAGCCTAGACATTCTATTTCATTTAAATACTCCTTCATGATTTAACAGTCCCCAGAATGCATCAAGTTTTAAGTGTGCATGCAGAAGGAAATTCCAAACTATATGCAGTTTACCATAACCAAGACAATGAATGAAGTTTGACACAATTAAGCAGCAGAGTTTTTAAGAACTCTAATGTGAAACATTTGCAAAGAAAGGTAGCATAAAAGAAATGAAGAACAGAAAACCAGAAGTTCAATATGGAACTGTGAAACATAAGTGGAAGTCTTCGTATATAGAAAGTTATGCAACATGTTACCATAACATCTCAGTTTATATCAAGATGTTCCTTTCATTTCCTCACGCCCCCTTTAAATGCAAAATGTACTCAATATTCCAATGGAAGTTCAGTTTATTAACATTGAAGCATTAGGAAAAGTTATAGAAAAATACAATAAAAATATATATTTAGGAAGGGGCGGGATAGTTTGGAGATTGGAAGAAACTGAGGGTAACTTTAGAAAGATAATGTCTAGTTTAACAATTACTTCTCAGTTTGTCCTCGATACACATCTAAAAGGATGTGAAACTAACCCTCCATTTTATCTGAAGAGTGAAAATAAATCCAACTTTTGGCACTCACCAAGGTTTCAAAGTCAATTTCTAATCCAGTCGCCACCCATGTGGGATCAATTAAATATTCCAATATTTCATTGAGCTCACACGTTCTGTACATCTGCAAAACTTCATCAAGTACATTTTTTATTCTACAAAATTCCATATGATTGACCTCCCTCCATTCAAGTAGCTTTACAAGCTGCAGAAATACAGTGAATAATCAGACAGGAAAATACAAGTGCATAAGAAAACAACAAAATAGTTAATATTAAAAAAATGTAAAATGGTATATATAAAAGATATTGAAAATATAGTGCAGCAAACTCTTTATTCAACAACGAATGATTCATAATATTTTATATGTAAGAGATAGAAATAAGGATTAGGTCAGTAGGTGTACACTAATCTAAGCCTAAAACTCAGCAGATATTCTCCTCTTCATTGACAGAGGAATGAAAAAAGGAAGAAATATACACGAGATCTAAAATATTGAAAAAATTCTCCAGGCTGTACATATTAGAATTAATAGAACTATTCTTTTAAATGCTGAAATACAATAAATATCAAAAATTAAGGACAGAAACTCTGAATGAAACTCCTAAAATTAAGACTCAATCATAAACATATAGTATCAGAAACCAGAATGGCAAAGAGAATTTTTTATTTTTTACATCAAGTAATCAAGTAATTAGAATAAAAATAAAGTCAGTCCTAGTCCCACTGCTGTGTTGAAAGCAAAATCAGTATCAACCATAATATGAAACAACAGTCATGACATGGAACTTTTTTGCTGGAAACTGTTTCCATGACAATTTCCAAATTGATTATCAACAATTTGGGTGACCCCATCCTAAACTCCCTTGTGTCTCTTTTTTCACTTTACTGATTTCATGGTGGAAAGAACCAAGTGTGTAGGTTGAAAAAGGTTTTGTATGACCCCAAACAATCTCCTCGAGCGTGGTTTAGAAGATTTACTCAAGTCATGATGTCCATGTAATACAAACAGATTCATGGTGATCATAGTTTATTCATATCATATTCCCCTAATGGCAAACTCACCCTTCTCCTAGTGCATGTAGATGATATGATCATTGCAAGTGATGATGAGACAAAAACTAATTTTAAACAAAAAGATGGCCCCTTATTTTGAAATGGAGTTGGGAAAGCTTAAATATATCCTTGGACTAGAGGTTGCCTATTACAAAAAAGGCATTTTTATCTCTTATACTTGATCTTTAGAAGGAATCAAGAAAACTGGGATGCAAGACCACAAGGGTACCCATTGAACAAAACCACACGAATGAAAGTGAAGAAAGCCCACTTGTAGAGAAGTCCCAATAGCAAAGATTGGTGGTCATTCTATCAGACACTAGACCTGATATTGCCTGTCTTTAGTTGGTAGGCCAATTTATACATGAACCTTATGAGAGACATCTTCAGGAAATTGAGAGGATCCTACATTATTTGAAGGCAAGTCTAGGGAAGGGACTGTTATTAAGAAGTGAAGGTTCATTGTCCATAGTGATATACATTGATGTTGACTATGCAATGTCAGTAACAAATAGAAAATCCACTTCTAGTACAACTAATTTTTCATTCCCTTTGTTTGACAAAAAACCTACTTAGGAAATAGGATAACATACATCAAGTTCTATTTGAAGCTCAATTACAATCAACAGAAGTATCTTAATAACAACCTTAGCTGAAGAAACACATGTAAATTCTGGAATTGAGCATGTTACGCTGCTCATAAGTTTGCATGTTGCTGCCAAACAAAAGAAGAAAAAAATGAGTCCAAAATTAAGTATAAAATGTCATCATAATGATGGTAAATATCATACTAATGTAAAGTACACAATTGAGTTAAAATTTGCATTGCAGCAAAAAAAATTGAGACAGTCAAAATTATAACTATTGAAACCACCTTGGATTTTGGATGCAATCTCATATGAAGGAGGATTCAAAAGAAGATCCTTTATATACCTGAGAACCACAATAAATTAGGTATCAGATCTAAAATTAATTGCTACAATACTATACTTTGAGCTACATTTAATTATTTAAATTAAAATAAAAGAACAAAAATAATGAATCGAAGAAATAAACAATTTAAATTGGAAATTTTATAGTTGAGACAATGAATTATACAATTAAATGGTACAAAAGTACAAAAATATAAACACGTTTAAAAGTTAAAACTCAATACAGCAAGACAATATACCCATATCCAACAACATGGCTAACTTTGTGCTGCCTTAAATCCCTTTAAACATTTTTTCCCTTTTTTGGTGCTTATTCAAGAGTTAAGGAGAACAGATGTTTTAAAAATCAGACCGATCATCAAACCAGTCAAGGTACTCAATCAGTGGGTCAAGGGTCGAATTAGTAGATCTCTAATTGAACTGCATGACCCAATCTCTATTAAATTTTTTTTAAAAAAAATATTTGTGTCATATATATTTCTGTTAGAATAGCTTGTTTAGAAAGTTTCTTCTTATTTAAATATTTATTGTATTTTTCTAATTGGTCTTTTCTCCTGATGTAATTACTTAGGCTTCTAGACTTTGTAGCCTACTCTATAGCCTTTTTCTTCTTGTAACCCTAATCACTCTTTATATGAGGAAAATATACAAATCAGTATAACTGATCCTTTTTGACCAGTTTGTTTCAATATTCAAGTTGGTATCAGAGCGGGCCGATCCCGCTCTGCCGTCCGCCACCGTCCTGTTACTCCGGCGAACCTAGGGTTTGGTGCGCCTTGTCAAGCGCGACCTAACCCCGTCAACTCCGGCGTCGTCAGAGTCCCCACGCGCTCTCACGCACCGTTTCTCTCTCCGGTTCTGTCAAGCACGTACTATTCACGCGCCACTGTCTGTTCGTCAGAACCTCCTCACTCCACCACCGTCTTGTTCATCGGAGCCTCCTGAGTCTATTTCTGGACTCAGTTTTGTGATTTGATCACTATTTAAGGTGTGGGCCTGCGTTTCTGTTCTTCTATTCTTCTCTCTTAATACTTGTTGCACGACCCATCTTCTTATGGCATCTCCAGGCCCTATTTTGTCTATTTCTGGCACTCCGACCATAACCACGGAGAAACTCAATGGAAAAAATTATTTATCATGGGCTGCCTCTGTAGAACTATGGTTCCTTTGTCAAGGGTACCACGATCACTTAGAAATGGAAAACGCTGAGGGTTCAGATGAAAGTCGGGCTAAATGGAAGAAGCTTGATTTTCAACTATGTGCTGTGTTGTGGCAGTCGGTTGAGCCCAATATTTTGGGGACCCTTAGAGCCTTCAAAACTTGCTGTTCTTTTTTGGAAAAAGGCTCAAAATATTTATGCAACCGATATTCAACGGTTATATGATGATGCTCAAAAAATAGCATCCTTGAAACAAATTAATCATGAAATGACGTCTCACATTGTTGAAGCCCAAGCTGTTGTAGAAGAACTAAAAATGTTCCTGACAGATGATTCATTAGAGGGACTAAATAAAAAACTTGATAGGCTATATATGGTGCTGATCCTGAGAACATTGCACCCAGACTTCAATCATGTTCGTGACCAGATTCTGACCGGCCACGAGATTCCTTCAATGGACAGCCTAATAACTAGACTTCTTCGTGTCCCTATTGAAATGAAGAATGAAAACTCTGGTGGAATTGTTGAAGCTTCTGCAATGGTTTCAAGTCAGGGTAGAGGTGGTCGTGGAAATTGAGGAGGAAGAGGAGGTAGAAGTGGTCGTCTTCAATGCTCATACTACAAGAGGATGGGTCATATCCAAGAGAATTCTTATTCTCTTCATGGTTTACCAAAGAAGATAGCAAATATGTCCAAGTCTGAGAAATTAGGAAAATCTGAGATGAAGGTTCCTGAAGATGACTATCAGGAATATCTTCAACGGAAATCTATGAATCAAGCTCAATCTTCCTCTACCACTACAGTTTCTACAGCTTGTATTTCTCATTCAACTGCAAATCAAAGTCCATGGATCATTGATTCAGGAGCCTCTGATCACATAACTGGTAATAATTCTATGTTTTCTTCCATGTCCCCACTTAAATCACCTCACCTTATTACCTTAGCAAATGGATCCAGAATTGCTCCTAAAGGAATCGGTCAAGTCTCTCTGTCTTCTTCATTAAATTTAAACTCTGTTTTGTTTATCCCTAATTGTCCTTTCAACTTAATCTCTTTAACCCAGTTAACCAAATCCTTAAATTGTTCAGTAACCTTTAATGTTGAATCTTTTGTTATTCAGGAACGTGGTATGGGTAACAACTTAATATCTTTTCCCAAGCAAACTGGTAAAAGATGTAACTCGATTTTCACCACCATTCATTCTGATATTTTGGGTCCAAGTCGTGTAACATCCTTTGGTTTCAGATATTTTGTAACCTTTATTAATGAATTTTCTCGATGTACTTGGATTTATTTAATGAAAGATCGTTCTGAGCTTTTGTCTATTATTTCTCTTCTAAATTATCCTCTTTCCTATCCTCACAGGGTGTCTTGCATCAGTCTACATGTCCACATACACCCCAACAAAATGGAATAGCAGAAAGGAAAAATAGGCACCTTGTAGAGACTGCACGCACCCTAATGCTCAATGCAAATGTTCATGTACATCATTGGGGTGATGCAATTCTCACTTCTTGTTTTTTAATAAACAGGATGCCCTGTTCTTCTCTTGAAAATAAAATTCCTTACTCCATTGTTTATCCAAAGGAACCCTTGTTTCATGTCTCACCTCGAGTCTTTGAGTGTACATATTTTGTCCATAATGTCTCTCCTGGTTTGGATAAATTATCTGCTCGAGCAATTAAATGTGTTTTCTTAGGCTATTCTCGTCTTCAGAAAGGGTACACATGTTATTCCCCAGAGACCAGAAAATTCTACATGTCTGCAGATGTCACCTTTGAACAAACTGTTTTTTTCTCCTGCACCACTCATGATTCTCTCTCAATACAACAAGTGCTACCAGATTGTTCTCATGATTCCTTTCCACCTCAACTTTCAATTCATAACCAAGAGGTTACTCAGTCTGTTATTCCTACCACTACTCCTATTCTAGCTACCCCCCCTCCTTTTGTTACATATCACCGTCGACCACGACAAATTGGCCCGACATTACCTTCAGAGTCACCAGACTCTTGTCCTTCACCATCAGATGCCCCTAGTGTGGATCCTAGTGAGGATAGCTCTGAATGGCCCATTGCTCTTCGAAAAGGTATTCGGTCTACTCGAAATCCTCATCCTATTTATAATTCTCTGAGTTATCATCAATTATCTCCCATGTATTTCTCCTTTGTCTCTTCTATATCTCCTCTTACTATTCTTAAAAATGTTCATGAGGCTCTTGGTCATCCTGGATGGAAACAAGCCATGATTGCTGAAATGCAAGATCTGGAGCATAGTGGTACATGGGAGCTAGTTCCCCTCCCTCCTGGGAAACGACCAGTTGGATGCAGATGGGTCTATGCTATTAAAGTTGGCCCTGATGGTACAGTTGATCGGCTCAAAGCCAGATTGGTGGCCAAGGGGTATACTCAAATTTATGGGCTCGACTATAGTGACACTTTCTCTCCTGTGGCCAAGCTTCCTACTGTTCGTCTCTTTTTTGCTATGGCAGCCATTCGTCATTGGCCTCTCCACCAATTAGACATTAAAAATGCCTTTCTTCATGGTGAGTTGGAGGAGGAGATTTACATGGAGCAACCTCCTGGATTTGTTGCTCAGGGGGAGTCTGGTTTAGTTTGTAAATTGAGAAGATCTCTTTATGGCCTCAAACAATCTCCTCGAACTTGGTTTGGAAAATTTAGTCATGTTGTACAAGACTTTGGGCTTAAAAGAAGCGAAGCAGACCACTCAGTTTTCTATTGTCATACTTCTCCTGGGAGATGTGTTTATTTGATTGTTTATGTGGATGACATAGTGATTATAGGAAACGATGTAGCTACAATTTCTCAATTGAAGAAACATTTGTTTAGCCATTTTCAGACCAAAGATCTGGGACATATAAAATATTTTCTTGGTATGGAAGTTGCCCAATCAAAGGAAGGCATTGTGATCTCTCAAAGGAAGTATGCTTTGGACATTTTGGAGGAAACAGGCATGACTGATTGTAGACCCATTGATAGTCCTATGGATCCTAAAGAAAAGTTAATGACCGATCAAGGAGAACCGTTCACAGATCCAGAAAGGTATAGGAGATTGGTCGGGAAACTCATTTATCTTACAATCACGAGACCTGATCTCTCTTTTGTAGTAGGGGTTGTTAGTTAGTCCATGCAGGCTCCTCATATTGATCATTGGAATGCTGTTCTGCGTATTCTTAGATATATCAAAAAGGCTCTAGGACAAGGATTACTATATGAGGACAAAGGAGATAATCGAATTTTTGGATACTGTGATGCTGATTGGGCAGGATGTCCTATAGATAGGCGTTCTACTACTGGATATTGTGTACTCCTTGGTGGAAATCTCATTTCTTGGAAGAGTAAGAAACAAAATGTTGTTGCTCGATCTAGTGCTGAAGCTGAATATCGAGCTATGGCCTTGATTACTTGTGAATTTATATGGATTAAGCAACTCATTCAAGAGTTAAGATTTTGTGAGGATTATCCAATGAAATTGTATTGTGATAATCAAGTCGCTCTCACATTGCTTCCAATCCAGTATTTCACGAGAGAACCAAGCACATAGAGGTTGATTGTCATTTTGTGAGAGAGAAGTTGTTGTCCAAGGAAATCATTACTGAATTTGTCAATTCCAGTGAACAACTTGAAGATGTTATGACTAAGTCATTAAGGGGGCCTCGAATTCAATTTTTATGTTCCAAGCTCGGTTCATATAATCTGTATGCACCAGCTTGAGGGGGAGTGTTAGAATAGCTTGTTTAGAAAGCTGCTTCTTATTTAAATATTTATTGTATTTTTCTAATTGGTCTTTTCTCTTGATGTAATTACTTAGGCTTCTAGACTCTGTAGCCTTTTTCTTCTTGTAACCCTAATCACTCTTTATATAAGGGAAATATACAGATCAGTATAACTGATCCTTTTTGGCCAATCTGTTTCAATATTCAAGTATTTCATACTTATAAATTTCAATAAAAATTTATACCATGCCTTAAAGAAGCTGCCAAAAAATTAAAGTCAACATAATACTCATAGAACAATCAAATCATAGACCGATTGAATTGCATAGATTAATATATAGTTTTAAATTAAAAACACTATAAATTATTTAAGTCAATTGTATAATAACAAAGTATGTTGGTTTTGCAGTCACTAAGTCGTTCAATAATCACATTTGTTTTAAGTCTCATCTTGTCCAAAATTACCTTCATAATAAGGAAAGCATTAAGAATTAAAAAGCATAGGGCCAGTGTTTAACTAAAATGTGCAGGATGATATACAATCAAAAGGGTAAATATATAAATGCGAAAAATTTAAAGGGTGACTTGGTCAAATGATTATCATGGGATAATTTCTAAATATACCACATAACCAAAAAGAAAAATCCTTTACTCACTGTACTGGTAATCCATTGCAAGTTGGTGGAAGTAAGACCTTCAACAAAGAAGGTATTCCTTCTGTTGGAATGGCACCTAAAATGCGAGAGAAACGGGTTTAGGAAAAAAAACATAGTTAGTGCACAGTTGGGCATTCTTCAATATTGATGTACCAACCAATTTGAGTAGATGTTCCAAGAGTTAAAGATCGAGCCCTATTTCCTGAAGATACAGTTGTGTTCCGAAATGTAACCTCATGATCAAGACCATAAAGCTCCTTAACCTATGCTCAAAAGTGAAATAACTATGTAACAATTTAAATGACTCGTATGTTTATATATAATACATTCAAAATAAAAATGCAAAAGAGATATGTAACTTTTTTAAATCATACCTTGACCAAAAGATCAGAGACAGGGTTACCATCAAACCACTCAAAATGTCTGGAACTACATTCTCCCCATAAGAGTCCTCCTGCACCAAATTCTCCCCAATTGCAGGTGCCTAGAAAAAAGCTAGTCAGATGCATAGCAAAGATAAAGAAACAGATATTTATATCTAACAAAGATCTCTCTGGATATTCTTTCACACATCATTTTTCTTTTCAAACAATTACTTAAACAGCACAAAATATAATAATTCATAATCAAAATCTTTTCTGATTTATATATATACAAAATAAGTATTATTACAGACAAGTAGGAAACACGACTAAGTAAAGGATAGGATCCACCAAAACAGAGGGAAAAAAATGTTACAACAAGGAATACAAAAATCTAATAGTATATTTTTTTCAAGTCCTCCATATAAAATCCCCTTGTATACCAAAGTTAGGCCCAAATTTTTGCCCAATTTATTTCATAAAAGGCAATAGAGAAGACTGAGAAAGTACAAACCACTAGAATTCTGCTTCAAAGATGTATGCATTAACAAGTGATGATATTGGCAAGTACGAAGCTTTGTAACAACTGCTTCTTCTGTTAAGCAATCTTCAGAAGAATAAGTCTTCATGGTCTCTAGTACCATATTAATGCAATAGCCCCTCGCAGAATGAGATATTCCTACATTAAAAAGGCATCATTCAAACTTACAATTCCAATGCAATCAAAAGATGTAGTGTTGATGGAGATTGCAAATAACCAGAAATGAGCATTGCGAAAATTAACCATTACCGCAATACCCATAACTGCCAACATGACAGTCATTATTGCACTTATACTGAATAATACATGACTGCTCATGATCATGATAGTTACTATCGGTTCCCACCAACTTTGCAATGTGGAGACCTCCCCCTATAACTCAAGTTTACTCTTGCAGAAGAAAAGCCTAGAAATAGGGATAAGATAATTACCCTTATCTAGGAAAAAATATAAATAAGTGTAGCTATCTTTTTAGCTTTTTCTACACAGATGGGAATAATTTAGTTATCCTTTTTATATATCTTTATCTGCACAGAGAGGAATAACTTAGTTATCTTTTTTATATCTTTAGTTATTTTTTTATCTTTATCTCGAGGAAAAGAGGGGAAGGGAACCACTATATATGAAGGGGCTGGCAACTAAGGAAAAAGGATTGGGGATTTTAGTTTTTTTTCCGGGAGTATTCCAGAAGAGGAGTCTCCATTGTTTTCAACAGAACTACATTTGAAGTCTTTGCTTTGTACCTTTTATCTATTTATTTCAGAGAAATAAATAGTTAAATACAGGTTCCCTGAGAAATGAAGTTGTACACAGAAATAAAGAAATGATAACTCTCACCATAAAGGTTACTATTAGAATAACAAGATTCTTATTATAACTATAAATAGGTAAGAAATAAAATAAAAAATAAAAAATAAAATAAAAACATAAATACCTACTACAGGCATCGGTTCTGGAAAGTTAAGATCGTGATCAACTGCAGCAAGTCCATATACATAAGGATTTCCAGGATGTGCATGCCTGAAAGTTATTAAAGCATTAAATCAGTCACGTGACAACTTGGAATACAAAATTAATTTATGAAATAATTATATGGAAAGAAAATTTTCATTTCCATGAACTCTGTCAACTGTAGTTATCATGAAATACACTCACAAAGTCACAATAGTATGCACAAGTATGCCAGCGAGAGTTGCTTCAGTTGGTAAGGATCAAAATACAGGAAATAGACCAAGATACAAGTCTAAGGTCATTAAAATTTACAAGTTGTAATTTCAAGAAAAAAGAATCTTCAGTAGTTGAAAAAACAGGAGAAACAAGAAAACTATGCAAGGTATATCAAAACATGAAAAAAGGTCTATGAAAAAAATCATCATCCGCACATTTCCATTTTCTTGAATTTGGGACTATTAGGAATTGAGAGAGAGAAGAGTAGAAGATATTTTCCTATATTCTAACACTCCCCCTCAAGTTAGAGCTTAGTAAGCTTTAAGCTTGTTACAAATACCCCTTACATAAAAGAAATCAAACAATAGAAGTTTGAGATTCTTGAATGGAAGGACTAGGATGGACTACCATGTGGCCAGCTCATAGTTCAAGTAGAGCCACAAAGCTGGGCTAATTTCTTTGGGAAAGCCATGGGGCTAGATTCGTCTCTGGGAAAGTTGCAAACTCAAGCTGATGTCTCTGGAGGAACCATAGGCTAGCTAATACTTCAAATAGAACCACAATGACAATGATTTCTTTGGGAAGTCTGTGTGGCAAGGCTCATATCCCTGAGAATTCCGTGGAGCCAAGCTAATAACTCTCACAATACACAATTCAATTCAAAGAAGGCAGATCTGGTGGAATGATGATCTGGCAGTGGGAGATTGATGACAGTGGCAATGGACTCAAACATGCTAGTAAAATGCATGCATGCATGGAAGGGGAAATCAAAATGGAAAGCACGGGTTCTAGCTTATTTGAAACACACCAGTGAAATGTACAGTAGACTGGTGGAGGCTTTGACAAAGGAGACAGATGGAGTGAAGAACATGGCCAGAAGAAGGCTGAAGTCACTGAAAGGAATATGGCAGAAGGGAGTGAAAAGGTTGGAATATAATACAGGTTTGACACAATTTGAGTGACAATAAAAGCTATTGCAGTTTTATTTAGACTATTTATGATCCTAACTAGTTAGGTAAACAAATGATGATAAGGAAATAAGGAGACCCTAAAAGATAACAAGAAAAAAAATAAACTAATCTAGAGGATAATCTAAAATAAGATATTTCCTCTATTCTAGCAATAATAATAATATGCATGAATAGATCAAAATCTTTGTATAAATATAAACATCGTGTCTGATTTGTTTTTCCAAAAATAACCTGAGTTCATTTATGAATGAATGACAAGATTTGTTATATATGCATCAAGGAAGCCCAACTTAATTTATAGATATACAAGTACATGTAACATCAAAATTAAAACATGAGGTATTTAGGGGTTTTAAGGTATTTTGGTTTCATTTTTGATAAAGCTAAAACATGTTGCTATCTATGTGCATAGTGTATCTAAATGATTGTAAAAAAACAAGTAGAGCAATCACATCACAAAGATGATTCCCAAAAGACATGAAGTTAAATAATAGGAACTCATTTTCAATTAACAATACTGTAAATGTGGCAAATGCATACATATTTTATTACTGAAATATATTGATGAACACCAACGGCAGAGATAGAGTAGTGTAATATTAAGATAATGGTCAATGAGAGCCCAAGCTCTTGCAATGGCACCATCAGAACCTAAGCTTCTACGTGTACAGACTTTCCAGACCTAGGACTTCCCATTGTTTGAGCACAATAACTTAACCATATACTGCTTCACCTCACTAATCATATGAGGTTCATTATCTGATACTTTATTATATATCTTAGTTAATATAATTGACAACTTATACCATGTATAGCAAATCATTAACAGAATTCAAAATAGCAGAGAGAAAGTTGTAGAAAGATTGAGGAAAATCAGAGTAAAAGAAGAATTCAGAGAGAGAACTGAAACTATAGATCTGAAAATGTAATTTTGTAATTTCAGAAAATTGATCTCATCCATACAAAACCTAAATATATATAGTTACATATATAAGCTCAATTACATATTTGCAATAACTGTAGACAGATCTAAAGTAATTGCCCCTTATGACCAAAACAGTGGAGAAGCTACAAAAACTAAACACTATAGTTTACAGTTGCAACAGTAGTAATTTGACATCACTCAAATACTCCCCCTCAAACTCAAGAGTGACTGATCAAAGAGAACTGATAAAAACCCTGAGTTTGTGTTGAAGTTCTACAAAACGCAGATGTTACAGTTCTGACTACAATGTCAGTACATTTCTCTAGAGCAGGAACTTAATAGACATGAAGGCTTAGGTTGTGCACCTCCCTTACAAATAATAGGTCAAGTTCCACATGCTTTGTTCTATCACGAAGAAATGGATTATGGGCCAGTGGCACAGTACTGATATTGTCTCATAGGATAGTAGTGGTGAATTCAACCCCAAGTTCTGTTAAAAGAGACTGCAGCCATAATACTCTTTTTGTATGTGTCAAACTCAAATGCTTTACCTCTGTGCTCATTTGGGTCACCAAAGTTTGCTTGTTAGACCACAAGAGACTAGGACCAAAAAATATGCAAGCCACATGTGAAGATTCCAACTCCAACATCAGGGTCAAATGCCCAAAAAACATCAGAGTAGACTTGAAGAACAAGGGGCTGAACTGAATTTGCTGTTCGAAACAGCAGACCATTATTAAGTGTGCCTTTGAGTCAGACAATATATTATTAACATAATTATAACAAGCAAATTGAAAGTGCAAGAAAAATCAGAGCAAGTGAAAGGATTCTGAGAAAACTAAAATATAGATCTAAAATTTGATTTTAGTTATTTCATAATACTGATGTCATCCATACAAAACCCAACTATATATAGCGAGGTAGATAAGCTGACACAATTACAGCTAAGCAATAACCGTAGACAGACCTGAAGTAACTGGAAGTGGGAATAACTGTAGAAAAGCTATATTAACAAAACACTGTAGTTCACGGTTATGGTAGTTGTAATTTGACAATTACTCCAATAACCCTGTTGCATATTTTCAATTTTGACTTGGATTTCTTCCTTCTCAAGGTGATGCCTTAACCTCTGTTCATATACCCCTTCCTTCTTTCTATCTATTAAATCCACAAATCATCAACTTTCAACCCACAAATATAACAAACATTAGCCAAAAAGACAAGTTTCTTTTCCTCACTGGTAACCACAGTCCACAGCAAGCTCTATCACTTGACCACACCCCTACAGAAAGACCACTGACCTATGGAGAATGTTGTACTTACCCAGATATAAAGCGGCGTTTCCGGGATCGAGCTTGTGTTGGGCCCTGAACTTCCTCCACAATGCACTGTAGAGAGATCAAAATTTATAACAGCATGTATTCACAAACAGGTAAGAACGATGGCAAGCATCATAACAATTTACAAACAACATATGAGACTAAATAGGGGTTAGTCACTTTGGGCTTCATTTTGAAGAATGCTACAAACAGATAGTCAACGAACAAAAGATAGGAAAAGTTCAGCCATAGAGTGATAAAAATTTAAATAGTGTAAAAAAAATGTTAAAACGCTATTAAATTGTTGCACTCACCACTGAATAACCATTTTGTGTCAGATCATCTAAAGTCTGTCGAAGATTCTATGACCAAAGAAAAGAAGAAAGACATTGTTAAATATATTAGAAATCCATTCAAAATTGTCAATAGAACATTAAATTTAATGAGAAAAGGCATAAAAAATCGCAACATCAATATAAAGTTTGTCACCAAAAGATACCATAACAGGAGTAGAATACCAGAATGTAACAAGCGCAATAGTACAATGTCAATACCATAACAGGACAACCAGCTCTTGGAATGCTATCTGATCGCAGACCACCAAAGGGATTTAAACCAGCATATTCAACAAGAATACAAGCATCTATTCCCCAAGCTTCATAGAAATCCCCAACCTGAACAAAATTTTAAAAATAAAAGCATGATACCAAGAGAAAATTCACTTCATTAAGGATTGAAATAGAATGGTAGCAAAGCAGCAAAAGAGAGCAAACAGAAATTTTATTGAGAATTATTCGGTACCCACGCCCCCTTCAAAATAAATTTAAAAGAGCCCCAATGTCTAACAAAACTCAATCAATGGAATAACTATTACTTACTCTGCAGAGCAATACTTGACGTGGAAATTTTGACTTGAATTGCAGCATTTCCCAGTTGAGTGTTCCTTCCTTCAGACTAAACAAATAAAAATTGATTCCTCCATCAACTTTCTCACAATAGTATCATCCCTCGAAATAGAGAATAAAGAACTTCAAGCATGTATGTGCAAGTTTATGGAACAATAGCCAATGTTGACGGCTAAGAATAAAGGATTATCAATTATATACAATCTTAAATTGTATTCTTGTTCGCATTGGTCTATTAGTTGTGAGCTTGTATCAGAGCACAGTGAAGAACTTATCTGTATTGCAACTTATGGAGGGGGGAAATAAATCCTTTTTATTAAGAATAGAATAAAAGTGCAGAATCAAACATGCCAACAGTTTGAACATAATAAAGTCCAATAATAATTCTGCTTTGCTCTTCAAAAAAAATTAAAAGAAAACACATGAAGTAATAACCTCGATTTATAGGAACTCACCTTCCATTTTTCAAGTTGGAATCCAGGCCAAGCAAATTAGAATATTCAAGCCTTTCGATTAGCTGGACAGTTGAAAACTTTCTACACATTTGCAACCTCTGCCATAATTTGGAAAGGAATCAAGAGGGAGAATGAAAAAATTTCTCTAAAGATCTCACGGTTTATAATCAAAAAAACAGAATTAAAGAATAGCTAAATTTTCAATTTAACTAGTTGCAAAGAAGTAGATGGACCTACCTCCTTCCACCATAATATGTGAGGAAGGTCTTTATCATCTAAAATATTATTTGGTACTTTGGGCTTTTTGGTGGCCCTACTACTCCCCCTTGAAACCTTCTTATCTGTATAACTCGATACATTCTCTATATGTCTATTTATTCTGTTCATAAACAAGTTTCACAATTTAGATGTCATACCACAAGAATAGATATTCACATCATTAGGATTTCACCATTTCAAGAAAATATTACATCAAACAAATTAGAGCTTTTTTTCATTCAAAAGGAAAACTTCACAATGTGTTTCGCTTGACATCTAACACTGTAAAAATAGATCTGCATCCAAGTATACAATTCACATTCAATTCAATCTATTTTGATACACATATGACAAAGTAAGCAAGATGTAGCTAGAATGAAGTCAAGATCAAAGACTACTACTAGCATGAATAACTCATGACAAATTGCCAACTCACCAGAGGTCATTGTTCAAACACAAAAATCTCAGACAAGATTCTAATAGTCTTACAGTGTCTCTAAACAAAAATTCACCAAGACTATTTGTCTCAGTCTTTTGCATTCAAATGAAATTTAGAAAACAAAATAAATTTGTAGATGGCAAATGTGATGTTACCAAGACGCTAACAAACAAATCTACCAATGCTCAGTTGCTTCCCAAACAAAACAACAATAGGCTATGCTTTACCCAGTGTTTGATAGATTTCCAAAAGATTCATCAATTAACTCATGATATATAAAAATAAAATAGCGATTATTAAAGAACACTTTTTAAATAGTAATTTTTTTAAAAAGCAAACAGAAATGCTTCTTAAAAAAAAAGCAAAAACATGCTTATTTATAAAATAAGCAATTTAGACAAGCATGTCAAAAAAAGAGTAGAAACTGCTTCTTTTATTAAAGGTTAAAACACATTTTTAGTCCCTAGAGTTTCACTGACTTTACCTTTTAATCCCTACAGTTTAAAAAATTAAAATAAACTTTTTTAGTCTCTATACTTTACATTTTTTAATCATCTTTAGTATCTGTCACTAATTTCTATGTAACACCGTTTCCGTGTGAGTGACATGAGCTTATTAAATCCATGTGGAGGTGATATATTTGGTTTTGTGAACAGTGATATGTCACTAAATAGTTTGAGAGGGAAAAAAATGAAGAGTCTGGATGGTTTTGTGGATAATCAATATTTACTATGACTGAATGTGATATAGATGAACGGTCAAATTGTTAATGATTGTGTGGTAAATCATTAAATGACACATTATCGTCCAAAAACAAATACATCACCAAATACATCACCGCCAAATGATTTAATAAGTCCACCTCACTAAAACGATGATACAATGAAATTATCGGTAAAAGACTAAAAAGATTCAAAAATGTAAGTATAGGGACTAAAAGGATCCATTTTAAACTCCAAGAATTAAAAGGTAAGATAAGTAAAATTTCTCGTACTATAAAAAGTATTTTAACCTTTATTAAAAAAAAAACTTTTTCAAAAAAAATAAACAAGTCGTTAGCACAACTTCCAATAAAGCCAGAGAGTATCCTTCTTACAAATTTCAAAGCCCAATGCAATAGCACAAAAAGACAATTTTCTCTATAGGCAAAAGGAATTTGGTTGTAATAAACAAAGATGAATGATATTCATTACGCATAATATATGAAAATATTCAATCAATTTTCAGCCAAAAATACTCCCACAGTGTTTCTACAGATAAACCGAATGTTCCCTAATATATTATGATACAAAACAAACAACACGTTTGGATACATGTTTAGAAATATGTGTTAGAACTTCATTTACTAGAAAAATCATAAGGTACAGTATGAAATAAAAAAAAATAAAAATAAAAAAAGCAAGGATTACCGAAGGGCGCGAGAGGGAACGAATGAAATGCAAGTGGGAAACGGAGAAGGAGAGTAGTGAGCAAGAGAGCGCCAACGAGACAAGAAAGCGGCGACGTTTCTAGTGGCTAGCTTGTACATTGCGAGGTGAATGGGTTTGTTGAAGTGAACGAGGTAGAGAGAGAGGGAGAAGGGAAAGTGAGTTCCCGCCACACGCAAGGAGGGAAGGGTTGGAGAGAGATGAAAAATGGAAGTGAAACCAAAACAAAGAACACCAGGGACTGAATACTGTACGAAATGATTGTCTCCTTGTCTTCTCTCCTGTCTCTTCAAAGTTAAAACTACATTGATTTTTTTTTCTTAAGTATGTTTTGAATTCACACGTTTTTTTTCCTTCAAACTTAAGGTTGTTATTTTTAATTTTTACAATTTTTATAAATTTTATTTTAATCATTAAATTATCAATAATATATTTTTCATATTAATATAATATTAATTATATTTAATATAAATCTCAAGCGTGTGGTTCAGCA